TCAGCATGTCTGAAAATAGGTTTTTGAAAAGTATATGTTTAAAGTTGATTTTAACAAAAAATAGAATAATAACATTCTAAGAGGTCTCAGATTATTGGTGCTGAATAAAAGCAAATGTATCACTTTGGGATAAATGTTTTTTAGATAGGTGAAATATTTTAAAATGTCAAGGCATGTCAGACTACCTCGAAAGTGGAAAAAAGGCCTCAGGGCCCAGGGGGTTAACTCTACAGTTATTAGTTCATACTGATTACAGGTGCAATATAATACATTTTATTTGAACACAATGCTGAGCTTCTCAGTACATTCACAGATATTCATCTAAAAACTACGGTTTCTTTAAATCTCAGGAATAGATAGAAACATAACATTTATATTTGTATTAGACTGGAAATGCATTATTATTATTTATCGGTTATGGATGGGCATCCTTGTGCCCCGTACTGCCTAGGATAGGCACCAGGCTTCCCCGCTGCCTGTCTGGTTGGAAGATGGATGGGTGAATGGATGGATGGATGTAATTAGGAATGTAGGATTTATAAGGTGTGATGTGACCCGCTGTCCAGCAGGACCTGGAAGGCTGCGGCGTGAAGCGGAGACTGCGCGGCCCAGAGCCCTCTGGCTACCGCAGGCCCAAGGAAGAGGACCCCATCATCCCGTTTGGAGAAGGGCCCATCATCTCCAAGTGGGGTGCCATCTCACGGGCCTCCCGCACGGAGTACCACACCACCGAGCCCGTGCAGGCCACAGCCTCCCGGGGCGGGGCCACCACCACTCCCATCAGCTTCCGAGGTGGGGAGCTTCTCCGGCTGGGGCCCTTATGTAGGGCACAGATGATTCCATGCGCTGATTTCCTCACTCTATTATTGCGTCACTCCTGACCTGACAGGACGTGTCAGTATTTCCTACATTATACAGAGAGGCATCACACCTAAATGCACCGTTAAAATGAAAGGCCCCATTCTTTGGGGCTAATTTTAATTATGGAATATTTTTATGCACATAAAGTGAAAGCAAATCCCTCATATCTCCCGGATTTCCATTCCAGCAGGGGGACAAAAAGCTCAAAGTCGCAGTTGTGAATGATAAATCCTCTTTTCTTGCAGAAGAATTAGGGTTTGAATATAAACAAAATGCGTGCTTTCATCTTCGCCCGTGGTTTCGCGTTAAGGTTCCCCCCCGATAAGCTGCCGCTGCGTTACTGCGCCTTCGGTGAGGATGCTAGCTACAGCCTTTCTTTGCAGATTACGGCTCCTACATCAGTCACAGCGACTACAGGTGGAGCTCCCAGGGCTCCGACCCCCCCTGCCACTCCAGCTTCCTCGACAGGTACGAGGCCCGTTCCCCTGCAGCCGCGTGCGGCTCTGCTCTCACCTGCCTCTTTGCTTCACACCTGTAACATCAGTAACAGGCTGAGCCTTGAAGGGCTGCTCTCTCCCAGCGAGTAGAGTTGAGAGGCCTGTTCCTGTTGAAGTCTGCTTGTTATTCTTGTTGATGCATGTTGATAATGTGTGTGAGTCTTTATCCTACAGTCTTCTAATCTGTCGATGCTGTTATTTACAGTTTAGCAACCGACTATATTGAATGTATAAGGAGTTTTATGATTAAATGCACCATGTCCACATTAGCAGCTTAGCACGGGGTTCCCCGGGCTGAAGCCCAGGGGCCTCCGGTCATTAGCGACATCTGGCTGTTGGTGTAAGTGCCTACTGACTGAAGTGCGGGCGTAAAGGTGACATTTGTGACAGCTTGCCACATTTCCGCAGTGACCAGCGGGGAGTCCCCGGGCTGAGAGCCCAGCGCCAGTCTTCCAGCGCCGACGAGAACCGGAGCACAGACCTTCTACAGGTGTGCTGGGGGGGAAGGGGCCTGTGCAGCGGGCAGGAGAGTCGGCTTACATGCGGGAGACCAGCTTAGCCCCCCCTTTCCCTCCGCAGGCTGACGTCTGTACAGACGGCGTGGACGGCGAGCCGGACAGGGACATTGAGCTGGAGCTGTCCGCCCTCGATATCGAAGAGGCCAGCTCACAGGACGACAAGACCCAGGTGCATCCCCTCTGCCAGACTCCTCGCTGTCTCTTCTCAGATTCGTAGGCGTGTTTATCTGCCGTACACCGCTGACCCCCCTCCCTCGGTAGCCGCCCACATGCCGCAAAGGCACAGGCAGTACCTTTCAGAAACGCTGGCTGCCAAGCGGGTTACTTTCTTTATTCAGTACAAGCCTTATCTTCCTGGAGGGACCTTGTGTCCTTCGCCAGTCCATGCCTGAAGGGCACGCCAGCTTACATTTTTTCTCCCGACACAGCAGGATAATTGCTTGTAATTATTTTATGCCAATAATTTTATGTATTTATTGTTATTGTTTATGATTTTTCATTGATTTTAATGATTATTGAGCATCATTTGAGTTGTCAGGATAGAATTTGTGCCAAACTTAATGTGTTTTCTATTTTTGTCCAGATTCAGGAGTCGCTAAGAGCGCCCCCTCATGGTACCCACCTCCCCGACGGTCCAGCGTCCGGTAACGGGCACCAGAGGAGCCAACCGGACACGCTCTCATCAGACAAGATGGGGGCTCACCTGCTGAAGAAGATGGCCTTCAGGTGAAGCTCAGCTCCGGCTCATTTTCACAGAAAAGACAGGTCCCGTAGCAGTCAGCCTGCCCCGCCCTTTTTGGATTGACAGCACTCTCCTGCCTCTGTGTTTCAGGAAGCCTGTCTCCCCCGACAGGCATGGCTCATCTGGGCTCTGCGTCAGCAAGTTAGTCATGAAGACGGGGCGAGGTGATGTCCCCCATCCCAGCACTGGGGCTGAGATGCTGCTCAACGGTAGCTGAGGGCTGGGGGGAGGGGTGGGAGGCGGGGCCACACAAAGACTCAACCTGCGATGTCACGCGGCCTCGCGTATAACTCGGGATGGATGACCCACAGCTCTGGTGTCACGGCGACTGTGCTGTCTAGGCTGCACGTAGTGTTGCATTCTCAAAAATGCGTCATATTTCCCCGTTTACTGTGGGTCATTTGGTTACACAAAAAAGGCCCTTGGAGTGTGTTTTTTAAAAAACTGTATTTGCCTATTCACTTTCCAATAGCTACAGAACTTGGATGTTACCATAGAGCTCAATGATATTAGCAGTGCTGTAAGAGCTTTGCTGACCATTGGTGTACTTTTCAAACACTGGATGGCTTGATCTTAAAGTAGCGGGGCTTTGCAATCATATTCCTCATCGATAGTGTGTTTTATTATTATTACTTTTTTCTGTTGATTGTCTGTTCAGGAAAACAGCGCCCTCTCTGGGGACAGTAGTAGCAATTTTAAGAAAAGATTGGTTTCTGCAGCATTTTGGCGTGACCAAGCAATGAATATTAGGGGAGTGTTCATCATGGCTGGTTTTCGGGGCATGTCACATCTCTGATATTACACAGAACAGATTGTTCCTCTTTTGCTTGTCTGTTGCTGTTAAAAACATAGTTATTTATCTCTTTATCAAGAGCAGTCAATGGGTCTACGATCCATCTAAATATAATGACGCATTATGAATATGTATGAAAACTAAATCATTATCTACTACGAAATTTTTGAATACATTTTTGCGAATTAATACTTTTTTATTGATAAATTTCCACTCTTTTTGTGCACGTGTGCCCTGCAGTGGATGGGCATTCTCCTCTAGAACGATTAACCACTTTGTGCCCCATGGCTGGGATCGACTACCACAATCCTGTACTGGATTATAGTTCAGAAAATGGGTACATCAATGGATGTTGTCTTAAAAATAAGATAACTTTCTTCATGCTAAATCAGTACTAGTAAGTGTGTGTTCTGGACATAAAGTGGTCATATTTGTGTGAATTTTTAACAACAACAGAACAGGTACTCCCCACCATCAAGACGTGTGTGCCCCGTGCCTCTTTGGTAGTGTTTCCCAACCTGGGTCCCTGAGAACCGGATTGGGAAAAACTGCCCAAATGCATAAGCAGCCATGATACTTACAGCCCTGACAAGAAGGAATGTTTTTCTGCGCCATAATATTCTTGCACATTTCAGGCGTTTTCCATCTCTGGCTGGGAGGAGCTGTCTGACTAGGGCAGACAATATGTTCAGGGGACAGATGTGACACGTGTAACCAAGAAAGAACCCTCAGTCCAGCACCCCTATACCCACTAAGCAACTCAGTAGATATGTCAGCCATTTTCAGGCTCGTCCTATGTTTGTTTTTTTGATCATGTTCCTTATTTGATCCGACTTGTACGTTTTCAGTGCTAGTCGAGAGGAAGTTCTTAAAAGCACTTATTTAACAAACAGCAGATGCTTTTTAGACTGATACAGTTTACTTTTGCACAGTTTCTTAATGGTTGCTAATTGCTTATGATCGTCGGTTCTTTGTTTACACTGTTGTGCAAAAATGCAGGACATAACCACGGTGCTCTGCACTAACAGCTAATGGAGAATAACCTGCCTGGCTGTAGATTCTGTGCTGAATACAGTGCATTCATTATTGACATTAAACAGGAACAAGAGTAATGATTTTATTCTTAAATTATAGCGATATTGATGTTCATTTTCAAAATGGTTATTGAGTAACATTTATGAGTATATGTAGGCTGCACATGATGTGTATTCTATATTCCTGTAGGGGCAGCATTGTCTGTTATCACAGTAGCCACAAGAAGTATCTAAGGTTATTGTAAACATCACTAGTACCAAAACCATATTTAAAACTTGAATATCTGTGTTCTGGATATTTTTTTTACTCGAAAAGCCCTCGTGACACGCTGCGCACACACAGAGCTTCTTGTAAGTATGCAGGTGTGTCTTGATGACAGGGGAGGCTCCATTGGGAAGCAGAGACGACGGTGTGTCACGTGCGTTACGTGCGTCCGGCCCGGCAGCATTAAAGTGGATTCCGCGATCATTCTGACAGGAATGACTGCTTGGTTGTTGTGAATGTGTTACAATTCTTGTTTAGGCCTCCTTAGCATATGCTTATATTCGTGAAGTGAAGCTCCTCCTGGGTGACAGGAATTGCACTAGGAGTCGCCGTGAAGCTGAGCAGAAACTGTCAGAAACTGATGTGTACCACATAAAACCAGATAGTTGTTGTTATAGCTTCCGCCCTCGTTTCGTCTGCCCCCTGGCCGTGTCACTGTCGGCCACCGCTGCCCTGTCCCAACGCTCTGGAAAAATTTGCTCTGACTTTCTGGGTTTTCTGTATTTTAAAACATTCTAACTTCCGTGAAGTTGTCCGTCAAGATATTTTGTATCAGGATCTTTTTTTTCCATCATGTTTTGAAATTGTGGTCTGTTAACCTGTTTGTTTTGTGCTGATTCTGTGCGGTTCTCTTGCTAGCTGACTGACATGGTCCATAACACAGAAATCATAGCGCTGACCAGACCAATCACACATGTCCAGAAGGATTAGCGATAACTTAACTCGGACTGTGTTTGTGGCATTTTGGAGGAGGTCCTCTCCTGAGGGGCATTAGGGATCCCTGAAGGTGAAGCTGAATTTTCAGGTACTGAGCGAAACATTTATTGTAGACTTTCTTAGGAAAAGTTAGAACCAACTTGACCAATCCTCCACAGGCCTCTGTTGACTGACTCTAGATAAGCTCATGTATGCTATGCTGTGTGGTCTGGATACATTCCTGGAGACTGTGGATGTTCCAGGACTTACCTATTCAGGATATACATGGCCACATGCTCCTGTATAGAATTTACCAGCTCATTTATGTGCGCTGTAAATTTCTTGCTAAAACTTACAGGCATGGTTTGAGATTTTAAATATTATTGATTTGTTCGGGACTGTGCATGGAATTTTATCAAAGCAGTTCTGCTGTAATCCTTTGCATATGTATGATTCTGTGTGTCCTTTTCATGGCGAGGTACAGGCACTTTTTTCAATTAACCTTTGTATTAGCTGTTATGTGAATGCATATTAGTTTTAGACAACTTGGTAGGTACTGAGAGATTTAATTTGTCTTTTTGACAAAACATATAGATTGCAATGAGAAACATTTTTTATATGAAAAAGAAAATGGGACTGTGGAATTCTCTTAAATATTAACTGCAGTATTCAGGTTTACAGTAAGTCTTACTGATCTCATCTGTTGAAACGAAAGCACTTCTACTCATATAACACATACAGTTCATAATTAGAGTTGGTGTGAAGTGTATAACTCATTTCTGTCAGTGTGTGGAAACATTAAGAGCACACACTATTGTTTTACCATTGCTATTACTAGTCTGACGTCTGGATTTTACATGTATCATTAGACAGAGTATAATTCTGTGCCATACAAAAAACCTCAGGCAGGCAGGCAATTAAAAAAAAAAAGAAACGAGGCAAAACCACTCACACCAGAAGATTGGTCAAGTTGAGTGCAAACTGGAGCATCCAGACTAGAGTTCTGCCTCTGGTTGTTCGAGCTGATTATTGCAGGGGTTACCAAAGCCAAGTACCTACAACCCTCAGGATAGAGCCTCCTTTTTACAGCATCCTCAGCAATAACAGAAGGCCAATGCAAATGTTACATACAATTAATACCGTGTATATAATTTCGGAATTCACCTTGTGCAGCAAGAAGAGTTTTATTCTTTTTTAATTCGTTACACTGGAAAAGGTTTATGCTATGTGGAGTTGCATAGAACACATGGGGTTTACAGAACGTCTGTGCAGGACTCTGGAGGTTTAGAACCACGAGTGCACCGGGTAGAACTCGAGGCCGCTCCGTCTGACCGAAACTGATCCTGATTGCAGCTCCAGGCCCGAGGCCTCACATTCAGAGAGCGAGGCAGAGCTTCATCTTGCCATGTCACACACATCCCCACCCCGACGCGGGCGGAGTCCAGGCCGCGTCCTTGTGGATGCGGACCTGGGCCAACCGAGGCGACGTCGTGCATGCTGTCCCTTAGCTGGGCGATGGAAGACATTATTCTGTAGTTGTGATACAACACACCTGCCGTTGTACATGTTCTGCACATGCCCACTGTGTGGCCACGTCATGTATCGTGGTTAGCTTGCAGCATTTACTGTCTGCTTTTATAATGTTTTATTGTATATCATAATTATTATTACTGGTAGTATTTTATTGGAAATAAAAGAAGTCCTCTTTTTGTATTGTTTAAATTTTAAAAATTTGCTTAGCTGTGATTGTTCTGGAGATAGGGTTGGAAAGACGAGAAGCTTGTTTGTCAATTGTACAACCAGTAACGGAGCTGATGTTTGAATATTTTTACGTCTGTATTAGACATTTTCTTTGCAAATCTATTGTTCGATTGAATTGTAAATGAAATAAAAGATGGTACACATCCGTCATTGTATACAGCTGGCACCATCGTTAGATGGACTTACTGCTCATTTTTATGACATAATCAGCTATATTTAAATATATAAAATATAAAAAAATAAATATAATTTAAAACAAAAAAAACTTTTCAGGAAAGTGGGGTATGCCCAAATTAATGATTTTTATTCCATTTATTTCTTTTTACTTACCACTTGTGAAGGTTTTTGATTTTGCATTTTGGATTACAATGCAAGATGACCTCTGGCTTGTGTGTTATAATGTGGCACATAGAAAAAAGAGTGGATTATTTTTGTTAAATGTTTGCTCTAGCACTAACAGGTCTGTTTTCCTGTATGGAGCAGAACGGTAATATTAAACAAAAGGAGACTGCAGTATCTGAAATGTATTTGCATGCATAAAAATAAAGATGCAAAAAAGTTCATGCCAGTGCAACTGCGTCTGTCGCTCTGTGTACATTACTTTCTTATGGCCTGCAACTCACCTGTTGTTTATGTATAACACGGGCATCTAGTGGTTCAATTCGGTACTGCAAGCACTGTGTCGCTTCATTTCTCCAGCAAGACGGAGCAAGCAGTTTCTGGGTTTGTAGAACATCTTCCCACAGTTCTGAATAAAAGGAAGAATGACTTGATTTGCATTTTTACCATTGATGATATTGCTACTGCTACTTTCACTTTCATTATTTATAAACTAACCACTGGTTTCTTGAATTCCATAAACATAAAAAGCAAGCTATCATTAAACCTATTTACAGTACACAGGAAATAAAATATCAAAATGCCAATAACACACCTAGGCGTGTTTGTTGTTATCCTGCTTAACAAGTCATATATCACACAAAACTGCATTATATGAACTGTGTTCACTGAAATACCGAAATTAGCATCACTTCATCTGCCAAGAACAGAAATATATAAATTCCCAACCCCGTACGCCTCAGTATGGAAAACGGAACTGACTCCTTACACAAAGTAATACTTTAATGCGCAGCAACCATTTTGATTTCCCGTCTAAATGTAAACGTAGTTTTAATGTAATCATATATTATTAAAGAACCAAATATTAATCTTGCGTAATATAAAAGGTTATACGTTGCGTTTTATGGTTATGATGTAATCCAAAAACAGAAATTTCAGGCAGCATTACCGTGTGAATCATTCAAAGTACTACAGTAACAGAGTGCACTGATATATTTCCTATTGTAATTTTTAAATTAAACTGGTAGAGCTTGTATACCTTATTTATTAGGTCCTGCATATACATATTTGGCAGCCCGTCGTGGTTTTAATGTGAACTTAATTGTTGCCCCAGAAATGTTAAATAGATTAAATAGCGATCGCGCGCCGCTTTTGCGTGTATGCATAAAATCAAAGTGAGCGACTGTTGACGTTTTTCTCAGACTTGTAAAACTTAAGGCCCACCAGGCTCGGGGGAAAATGTAAAGCTATTATCGTGCTCAAATTCTCTTGTAGTTTATTTCTCTTCATCTGGAGCACAAAAATTTCAAAATGGTTAGTTCAGAACACGTGACTCGACTTTTTTTAAATAGATAAAATAATATGTGAAAGTTAAGAAATATTTATGGCGTAATATATAATAAGAATTATTATTATTATTACTACATATACCAGAAATGTGGCCCTGATTTGTGCAATATTCACGAAAAACTGGCAGGCGGAAGCATTAGCCCAGGTGCTAAACAAATAGAAATACCTTTCTTACGTGGATACGACAACTGCCCGCAAAGGCCAAATTTAGAAGATCGGTGTGGAGCATTAACGTTTAAAACACATGCTCAGCACTGGAATAAAGCAGCATCTGACAGTTACCCCGCATGTACTCCGGCTAGGCGTAGCGTCCTTTGCGGGACGCGCATGCGCACTTCCAGGGGTTCGGTTTGTGTTTACAGCCGCCCGACCAGTGTAATGTAGTGCAATGTTATGACAGCCCTTTTTGGAATTAAAAATTCTATACAGCAAACAGGTAGGACGTCCGAGAGCTCAATGTCGTTTCGTGCAGGAAATGAAGCTGTCCATTACCATATAAGAGAACCGTTTTTCTTTCTGTTAAAGAAGGGTTGTGCCTAGCTAGCAGCTAGGAGGATAGCTAGCGACAAGGCTCGCTGTGAGCCCAGGCCGTGCAGCGCTCCCTCCGGCTGCTGACTGACAGCACGGCTGCCGCAAATGCCTTTGCCTTACGGGATTAAAATGTCGTCTGTGGCAAGCATTTTGGAGAGTGCTGTAAACTGGGGCGAATCGGGTCGTGTGTGAGGTAAATGCGAAGGGGCAGGTCCGCCGTGTCCGTACGGGCGAACCGTTGATTGTTCTCCTGCAGCCGAGCTAACGGGACCGGGCTAACTAACGTACCCGGGAGTGTGTGGAGGCGTATGACCGGCTCTTAAAATGTCACTTTTGCAGCTATCGAGCTCCCCGTGTCACGGCATCGCCGACTAAATGGCCGTCACGTAGTGCTTTTAGCAGCCTGCGAGAGGACCTCCGATACGGCCGCCGACACAGGAGACATTTTCTTCCTCCGTTTCACGGTAGTTTGAAGGCAGATAATCCCAGCTGAGTACGATTAAATGCCCCAAGTGTGATAACGACCGACAGGCTGTGGTAGGTGGTTAACCGTTGCAGTAGGATGGGAGGCTAGTCTTATTTGTAAACCAGTCTCGCTCCTTCGCCATTATAGCACCGTGATTTCTGCACTCAGTCACCCCTGTACGATAAATATTCATGACTATGGCGTCGTGTGATTCAAAGTAAAAATCATTGGTAAATTATAGGGCGACGTTTTTGCCAGTTTGTTCGACGGCCAGCATCTTTGCATAGGAGACTAGTGACGTAAGCGCCGTACGCATGAGTTTATCTGGTTATTTCTGGGTACTAGTTAAAGCACCCCCCAGCTAGGGTGTCCCCGGTTCGGTATACGCCGCCCCTGTATGTGCGGTTCATTCGAGGTTTTGGTCTGCATTTAATTAATCGAGCATAGGTGCAATGAAGTGTGTCTGTGCTCATTTTCATTTATCTTATAATTTTGTTAGTCTGAGTTGCAGATATCGAGTGGCTTAATTGCTGGGGACAATCGTTCAGGCTGATCAACTTCTCTGTAATCTCAGGTTCAAACTTGTCGGTACAGTTTTGCATAACTTAAAAATAAACGCAATAAGACCTCAATCGTCATATGTGAAACGTCAGTGTCTCAAATGTACAAACCTCTGAACAGGTCTACCGACATTAAAAAATAAGTGACAGGTTCTGCAGAGTTAAACTGATGCTACAGTATCGATGAAGACCTGTTGTTCAACAAAGCCAAGCAAACTACCTGTCCAAAAGTTACAGTGCAATGCAATACGATATGCAAATATTTGAAAACGAAATTAGTTCCTTTTGCCGGAAGTATTTCTTAAGTCACATGGATTGGGGTGGAGTTGCTTGCCTTTTTCCTCTGGCTGGTAACCATGGGCACACTGCACAGCTTTATGGCATAAACAATGAGGAAACATCACTGCCAGTTTTGCAGCTCTGAGGAGGAACAGGTCCATCCAGTGAGACCACTGGATGGTTTTTTCTTTTCTTTTCAAGATGTGAAAGTTGCTGCCTCTGGAGAATACTGCCAGGTAACACCAGTAACTCCTGAGCAGAGACCAGTACCACCTGACCTCGCTGCTTAGTGGCAATGTGTCTGTTATTGCTCTCGCCAGGCGAGTTCTTGGCTGCCAGTGAAAAGATGGCACTGTCTTTCTGGCAGCGAATTTGGCTGAAAGAAGAAGCTTCATCACCTCTTGTTGACTGCTGTTTGGGTCTTTTTGAACATTGCATTTTCATTAACTTCAGAACAAGGATGGCTGTCATGAAATCTGAAATTGGTCATGTTATTTCAGTCTTTCCCAGTCTTTGTACTGTCATGACTCATCTTTCAAGTTGAGCTCTCCTCCTGCTGCAGTATCACAGCTTGGAAAACTGGCCTACAACAAGTTTTTTTTTTATTTTGAGAGGGCAGCGATTGGAACGTGCTTATATTTTATACATTCTCCTGCAGTGGAACTAGTGTTTGAACAGGAGCATTGCTTGGAAATATTAGACTTCAACTGTCAGTGGTGATTTAATAGATTATACGTGGTGCTAATAGGAAGCATCTATGCTTCCAGCTCTTGTAGGGCGACACACGTTGCCAGACTGTTTCAGTTTTCAATGTGAGGAACCATTGTATGCGACCAGCGAGTCCTGCCCATGTGCTGTCCAGTCATAAGACCCTCTGTGTCATGCCTGCTTCTGTACCCGCTGGCTTGCCTTGTGCTGAGTAGCGGCGTGAGGATTCAGGTTAAGAATTGGACTCTCAGGATGACTGACAGTAGCTGCTTATGATGAAATATTATGAGCTTCCTGTGTGCAAAGTTGTGACAGCTGCAGTCTGCAGCTCTTTGCAGATTTGTGGAGTTGCCCCTTAAAGTCTGGATGTCTTGGAAAATCACTTATTTAAAAATGGGATGGCGTGGTGGTGTGGTGGTGAGAACTGTTGCCTTACACCTCTGGGACCAGGGTTTGAGCCTGCCATGGCTCCATGTGTGTGGAGTTTGCATGTTCTCTCCGTGTTACTATGGGATTTCGTCGGGATATTCCAGTTTCCCCCCACAGTTCAGAAACATGCTGTGGTCAAATGGATTAGCCAAATTGTCATAGTTCCTAGTGTTTTTCATCTTGCTGTTTTTGAAGCGCCATCTGCATTGAGCATAAGTGGACATGCAGCAGGCAGCCAGTGACTGTCTTCTGTATTGTTTTTCCTGTATTTCCTTCAAGTTGGATAGACATCAGTATCCCTGGACTTACTGAGATTAATGCTGTCTTTACTGTCAGTGTCTGAGTGCTCTGAGAAGATTTTTTTTAAAATGACGTTTTCCTGGTGTTTGCAGCATCGGGACAGTTTCTTTTATGAAAGCTGGTTAAACTTCACCAGATGAGCGTGTCTCTGAGGAGGAGCAGGGGTCAGGGCTGGCCATCTTACTCGGGCCCCCGCTGAGGCCAACATAGACCATGTAATGGGTATCACTGTGCCTGCTATTACTTGGCCACTGTAATACAGATGCAACTATAATGAAGATTACCTTAGCCTAGGCTATGCAATCAGATAGCAGTAGGATTTAGATTAAGTATATTTCCAGTGTATATTTAGTAGGAGTGTAATGGTTCACACAACTCACGGTTCGGTACAGACCTCAGTTTTGGATTCACAGCTAGTCGGTACAGCACAGAAAAACAGAATTTGCTCTGAAATTGTTATTAAAAACTGCACACAAGCACAATAAGGAACAGCTGCAAACCAAAGGCAATACATTTGTCAATGTGTATGAATAAAACCTAAGAGGTGCTTGTCTGCACATTGTGAAAGCAAGTCAAATAAAAAAACTATAATACCATAACAATCATCTAGATTGCATGTTTTCTACTTCCCAATATGGCTGCATATCTGTAGTGATAAACACCCCTGTAGCCTAGTTATTTTTCAGTCTGAATTTCCTGGCAAAAGCGCCTTAAATGCCAGAGGGAGACTAACTCGCTGAGGTTGTCATAGACACATTTGGATGATGTCATCTCAAATGAGTTAGCATGTTCACTTTTGTTTTCAGCAGCATATCTGAGTTCAGTAGATTAAACACAGCTTAGGTCTTTTCAACTACACTCGCTCCGGTGTTGGTGTAATATATTGGAAAATCAAAATGTTCCCAAACCACCAATAATGACTGACTGTTACCAGCATTAGCCATAATCAACTCAATACTTTTTTTTTGTGCTGAACATCTACCTGTGAATTTAAGTTCTGCCCATTTCAGTAAATGTATTCATTTCATTTTGTGTACTGAACTGAAAATGTTGTACTAAGGGGAACATGATAAATACATGTACTGGTACAGTCCTAATACTTAGCTAAAATGACATATTCAGATGAAATGTGGCTGCATACATTCAATGAAGAAAAAAAAAAAGTATTATTATTATCATTATTTTGGCAAGTTTCCCTTTGAGCGGGGCCCCCTAGAGGATGGGACTTGGTGTAGCCACACCGGTTGAACCGCCCTAATGACACCACTGGTGGCTGGAACTGTTGGGAAATCATGAACTGTTGTCGTACCTGTGGTGATTTCTGCACCATCAGTCCTTTCTGTTCGGTTCCTCTCTCTTACTACAACTTAAAATACTTCAGTTTTCTGTCACCAAGGTAATGTGCAAATCTGAGTTGGCACATCTGAAAATCTTCAGTTTGAAAACTCCAGTTTTGAAACATCACATTACAGATGTTAGTGCTGATAGTTTATATTCTGTTTTAGGCCATGCTACTTCAGTATAATAAAACACCATCTTAAATCCACCTTGCATTGGTTTTATTATGGGTTCTGTAGAATTGGGAACACATCCCACGTGTGTGCTGCCCTCAGGGTGAAGTAACATATAGCTTTTCCTGGGTTTCCCCCATGTGGTGCAGAGAACCTATTTCCAAGAACCTAGAATGGCTGCTGCTGTGAGTGATAGTTAACATGAGGTTTCCTGTTAGCTCTCTGAAATTGGCCAGCAACTGTTGCATGAAGGTTTCTGTCATTGGGGTCAGCTTCTGCCTCAAAAACCTATTTCCTGCTTCTAAATGTAGGTATGCAAGCTTTACTTTAAAGGGATGCATGTTGAAGCCACCCTCTTGGCTTCCCTGCACAGTGATGGAATCCTCCCTCATGGGGCAAATGCAAGCTGTACTTGTGCATTCATCTTTGCTGGATAAGGGAACTCTGCCATGAGGTTGTTCTGCGTCACCTGCATATCACATGGAGAACAGGTGGTTGTACCCGCCAGTAAGCCAGCCAGATGTAGTTAGCTTACCTCAGAAGCGATTGTGAGTTTGATTTTGTGTCATGGTATAATCCACTAAGCCTGTGGTATCCCTTATATCATTTCTTCATGTCTCGTTTTGTGCACGCTGCAGAATTGGGCTAGTGTGTTTGCAGCCCCGATCTGGTGTAGTGTAACGTGTGTTATGCTGGTCTAAGGCTACAGCACTGTTCACACCCCGTGGGTCCTGTGGTCTTTAAGTTCAGGACAGAGCTTCTCACCCGTTTAGCATTACGAGGCTGAGATTTCTGGCTCTGTCTGCAAAGCTGAATCTGAAGTCGGGTTGTGCAAAGCTGCTCGCACCCCACTGGGCCCGTCTCCCAGTGTCAGGGACGAGGGCCGGCTCTGCTCTGTGACATCACATCTGTGGCCTGAGCTTATCTGCCATTTCTACTTTGTACTCCATCAGCTCTTTTCTGTCGTGTTTTCCCAACTGATTCCCAGTTTTCTGTCACATATTTTTAACATTTATTTCTTAATATCCCAGATTCAATATAAAACAGTATTTTAAAAATATAGATAAATATATGTATGTTCTGGTGCTAATTTGTCAATACACAGATGTTCCCTTAAAGTTGTTGCTCACATATGAAGTGTTTTTGAATGTTAAAAACAGATCAGAATACTGTTTAGATGTCCAGTGCATATCATTTCAGCATGCTAACTTAATTGTTTAATTCAGTCTTGCAGATACTGTTCCATCGCAGCTAGTATAATTTGATCATTAAAAACATTGAGACATTTATTGTTTATTACATGCAAAAAAGTGCAGTACATTAACATTACTATTGAATGTTCTCTTTACCATCATAAATGTTAATTACCATTGCACATGCACATTTCCATTATATGTGCACATTACAAAGTCTCCAGGTAATGAGCCAGATTTGTTCGTCTGTCTTTAAGTTGAATATGTAGGTAAGTCAGAAAAATCATAATACAGTACATAATAATTAATTATACAGTAATAATAAAAGTACATGCAGTACTGTACTCTACCTTGAGCTGACGAACCGCTGAAGCTGTGCAGTGTTTTGTCACGAATCTCACAATATAGTGCGTTCGTTATTATGAACCATTGTTTTTAACCTGAATTTTTCATATAACAGGCTTTATGCATGTCCGTTCCTAAGTATGAGTTCTCTGTAAGTCGAACATTCATAATGCCAGGACTGCCTGAACTTTTTTGTATGTACAGTGCCGGGTCTGAATTCATTTCATGGTTATGATTTATTCAAGCTGTAATGCAAAGCAGGAGATTAATTTCGAAATTTATAGCTGCCTTTGCCACTAGGTATTATTAAAATCCTAATCTCACCTGTAAAATAAACGTAAAAGTACACTTGAGTAAACTAGAATGCTTTGGTTAAACTTTTGATCGGTGCATTGTGCGCCGTTTAGTGGTGAGTGAAATGAGGCTGTAGACACAACAGGGGGTGGGACTATTATGCTGTCAGTTACAGGCTGATTCATTCCCGTTCCTGTTGGTTAACATTCCTCTTCGACTCAAACAGGCAGCAGATGACAACATACGCTGATTTCACCATCCTGAGTTTCAAAACATTGGTGCATGTTTATTCAACTGTTTTTATTTTCAACTTGCATCTTTAATCAGTTCTGCAGATGATTGAGCTTGGATAAGATGCTAATAAAGGCAAGGTAAAAAAAATAATAACTTTACATTTATGCCAGGTGTAAGGTTACTTTTTAATTTTTGCCTTACTTATAAGTCCTTATGATGGATATGGGGCAGAAAGCAAGGAATTTCATCATTCTTTTAACAGTGTTGTGTGTATATGGCTGGTCCTTGCTTTTAGGAAGTGTAAATGGCGCAGTGTGTGCCCACTGCTTTCGCAGGCAGCTTCCTCCCGTTCCCTCCTGGGCTTCGCTGAGGGTGGGCACGGTGCGGCCGCGAGGCGCGGGATGTCTTTACATGGATTCAGCGTCGCCACCTTCATTGCATTGTTCATCCCACTTGGCTGCTTCCTGTCCTGTGAGCAGTTAGACATCAGATCCTCCATTCAGTCACTTTCCATCCGCACTCAGTGGCTTTGTATTGATTCCCTCCCCTTCCCCTGTGTTGGTAGTTCTGTAAGTGTAATGTGATCTTTTGATGGAGTGAGAACTGCTGGCCTCGGTGGTTTCCTACATGGTTCCATGTGCCAGGGCTCCGTCACACTGTGGCTGCACTTCCTGCCTCCTGGTTCCCCTTCCCATCCATCCATTTGGTAGCCAGCTTCACTGATTTGATTGCAGTTTTTTTTTGTTTGTTTTGTTTTCTTCCTGTGGCCTGAATCGCATGCCTGTCCAGTGCCAGTCAGAGACTTCCCTGCAGGGGGCGGATGGGGGGGGGGGCTCTGGGAGTGGGTCAGTGTCAGAAATGCGACTGCTGTCACTCGCAGACTATGTGCCTGCACGGCAAAGGAGCGTCGCACCAGTGGGGGAGAGAGGGAGTGCTGCCCGTGACAGTCACGCAGGGGTGGGGGGGAGCAGAGGTGTCATACCTAACCGGTCCAAAGCTAAGAGAATCGCGAGCATCAAAATCCCCCAACTGCCGTCTGCTTTGATGAACACTTCAGGAGAAGCAGGGAGACGAGCTGTACTTACAGTCTGCTGGATACCTAATAGTAATAAAACCAATAATAATGAATAATAATAATAATAATAAACAAAATAACAAAAATACTAAACTGTAATAATATAGCAGAAATATTAACAAGTGTGGGATCAATGATAATAAACATAGAAAGCAGAAGTAGCAGTTTCTATGTATTTTTTCTATTGATGTACATTTTATTTTGTGTTTTTAATTTTGTTATTCTTTTTTTGTTTTGTTTTGTTTTGTTTTGTTTTGTTTTGCTGTTATCATTAAAGTAGATTAATAGTAGACCAATTGGTAGCTTGGTGCTCACTGCCCCAAAAATGTTAGCTGAAAATGTCATTACCAGCATTACTTTATAATGCTTTTAATTATGTGTTTTCTACTCATGAATTGTGTTAAAATGTTGCTTTAATTTTTTTATTCCATTACGAAATGTGTGTTACTGTCTTATTGTTCTAAAGATTAGAATCTTCCATTAGATTTGATTGATTAAGATGCTTGTGAAGATGCCTTAAGGTTAGGATATTGGATGCGCCATAGCAACAGGAATATGAGTACACCCACTGGCCCACCCATGTGACCACGCACCAAGCCGCTTCCTCATCTTCATTTTCACCGTTTGCTTGCATGGGGCTTTTCTTTTGTGCTGCCATTACATCACATTTTTCAATCTGAGGAACGTGGCAGCTCCTGAAATGAGAGACCCAACCGTATAAAGATGGGGAGACGTAGCGGCCCCATCCTCCCCCCCCCCGCCCCCCCCGAACACACTTGGCAGGCCCCTCGCATTGCTCACGGCGTGCTCACCTCCAGACCTGGTCGCAAAACGTGGCTTCTGGAGATTCCAAAACACACAGACAATGAGGCCCTTCCTGGCAATGGCTGGAGATCCAGTATTCTAACCTTAACCGTAGCGATGATATGATGAAGTATACGGAGAGCCCCCGCTAAATGGTTTTTTATGGTTTTGTTTTCTAGGTGGTTTTAATAATTTAGCCCCCATTCATGTGCTGCGCTTGGTTTAGCAGTCATGGATGACAAGGCCTCGGTTGGGAAAATTAGCGTGTCGTCCGACTCGGTTTCCACCCTCAACAGTGAGGACTTTGTGCTGGTGTCCCGCCAGGGGGACGAGACGCCCTCCACAAATAACGGTAGCGATGACGAAAAGACAGGACTGAAGGTAAGAGCGCCTGAAACGCTGATGGGGTGGGGGGGGATGTTGCCCTGTGGTTATAGGATCTGGTCTCTTGTGGATCACGGTTGCTGGGTGAATCCAAACCAGACCCACCTCTGCCTCGGTGTCTTCCTGACTGCTTCCTGACCTAATGGCTTGTAATATGTGGGCGCTGATGTAGTTGGCATTTCCAAGTACAGGTGGGTATTGTGTAAGACTGCAAATGTCTGGTATTTTACTCTGTGTCTGTCAGCCAACAAGGGCCAATGGAGACCAAGCAGTCTGAACACCTGTTTAGTAGTGTAACTCAAATATTCACGCTTTTGACAGTTTGGTAGAAAATTTTCATGAGAATTGTTTTTTTTTTTAAAAAAAAAAACAACGAGGGTTTAATCTCTGCCTTTTTTGTAAGTGTTTTGAGCTTCTCTTCAGAAAATACTCGGCAAATTGCATATTATTTTGGTTTATAAGATATTATCTGTTCTTCAAATACCACAAATAGATATGTTGGAGTTATGCCAGCAAGCTTGGAAGTAATGCTAAAGTTTGATTCAAGTTTCAATTAGAATTGTGATCCAGTGTTCAAAAAAACAGCTTAAATTCTGTGTAATGCAGTCACAGACGCTTGTCAGGTTCCTGACAATATTATGATTTGTCTTTTACATTAAGTCAGGATGTTAAACCATTTAAAATAAATGAAACACACAGAATCCTTGGCAAGAAATTATAGAATAGTGTTAATACTGTGATTTAAAACAAGAAGGTCAGTCTGTGAGAATACCTGTATCTGTAATTCTGATGGCTGCAAAGTTTGCACGTAAATTAGAGCTTTCCTGCAATGTAATTAATTGATACTTTATTGTCCCCGTGGGGAAATTGTTTTTACGCCTCCCTCAGCTTGTTCTTTATAAAGTAAGTTGTCTGCGAAGGGCAGCCACCCATAGTACAATCTAACACCATCACTTATTGTTAGAATGGCTGTTTAAAATCAATCTAAAATCTATCAGGTTTTATAAATTAGCTTTTTGGAGGTAAGAGAATTCTGTGAAGCCCAGCTGTGCTTCTGTTGTGCACTGTGGGCTTGTCTTGGCTTTCCCATCATTGTTTTGAGGTATGTTTTGTTTTGAGTTTCCGTCTGGACCTGGAAGGGGGGCGTCTCTGCTCTGTCCCTTTGGTTTAGTCTTACCAATGCAAATTCCCTACTTATGAACAGCACCATTGCTTTCTAGCTCCATTTTATGGTGGGTGCACCCATCTCATAACTAATTGTGTCGAACGACTGTATCAAAGTGCGGGGTTGGTGGTGTAATGCATGCAGTGTTTGTTGCTTGTGTTAATTCCTCTCCCCTTTAGACAGTAGGTCCTGGGTGCCATTTTTTCACTCTTTTGTGTTTTTGAGTGAGGTGTAGTATAGTGTTGTTGCCCTACATTCATTGTTTGTAGGAAAGAGGGCGATCTTTTACATTTAGGTTCATGTTTTGTTTGTTGTTTTGGTGAAATTCAGGTCTGACGCAAATCGCCCATCTCTCAGAAAATAGGATTTCCTTTGGTCTTTGTTATATATAGCAACACACGCATATTCTAATCTGAACTGTAACACTCACTAATAATCCTGGGCTAAGAGTGCTAGCAGGAAGCTTAGCTTCTCTGCATGTTCTCCAGAGAGCTGCTTCTCTCATCATAAATGTTTAAGGAGACATCATCGGTGCTTTAGTGATGGGTTTTCCGCCACTACCGATAAATTTGCTAAACCTTAATATTGGGCAGCTTTATCAGCCAGCTGTAATTGGTCTGGCTCTACTATGTAGCCATTTCATTTTGTTTGCAGCCCCCGCTGTAGATTATTTAGGAGAGTGCTCACAAATATAGTGATAGTGAAAGCACATCGTCAGTGAGCTACCCGGCTGCAGTCAGCTAGGGATCAGTGGTAACACTGAGACCAACTCCCCCCTTTGTCTGGTTCAGAAAGGAGGCTGGCCTACAGTTACAGCTCATAGCGGTGACTTAGGTGGCCCTCAGACCTCACAGAGACAAGAACTACAGTGTGTAAACGGAGTGCGGTTTGCAGTGCTATGCAGCTTATTTGCAACAAAACAAGTCGTGTTTGTGCACATCTGCTGATGCCAGATACTACACTGGCATGCATTAATTTTCTTGTGCTTAAGCACAAATAATATAAAATGTGAGCTGGCTGCAACGCCTATTTTTTATTGTGTCTTTCCTGGTTTTTCAGTTTCACCTTGATATTAATACAGCTCAGTGTGATTTGAGATGATTCCAAGACATCTGTTTAAAACGAAGCTGGAAAAATATTCACTTTTGTCATATTAAATGACATTTATAAAGTGCTTAATTTATTATAACTGTCTGAAAAAGTTTACAGTGGTACATGTTGTAACTGCTGCATTCCTTTATCCGTATGAATATATGCATTGGTCCAGCCCATGAGGGTTAGCTGTAATAGAGAGGCTTTGTTTTGGCTCTGATAGCAGTTGGAGAGTCTCCAGTAGGGATGGCATGGTAGCTAATTTGCTTGTTAGCCCTTTTCATCCCTACTCAGCCCGTTGCTAGGGAGGTGACCAAAGCAGCTCATCAACCGCTACCTTGTTGGCATGCCCCTTGTGGATATAAGCAGTCACTGCAGCAAGAAAGCATGCATTTATTTATACATGAGTCTTTATATGGGGATAGCAAACATAAGCTGCGCACACTGTAATCAGTGCCTTTGGTGTGTATTTAGGTTTCGTGACCTTGATCAGTGCTGTTTCAGCACTGTGGGTCCCCTAGGCTGCCTCCACCCACACCCAGCCTGCAAAGGGTGAACCGTGTCAGGTTCCTACACTTATCAGATGTCAGCCCCGTATCACAGGTGGCTTGCACAGGCTATAGGGCGGCTAGGGCAGTTTACAGTGGGGGAATCCTGCGTTAGCATGTCTCGAAGCCCCAACTCCTGGCTGATGCTGATGCACCCTGTGACATTTGGTATGGAGTGCCCCACCCCACCCTACCCCACCAGCCAGCATCACTTGTTTGACAGGGTAGCCTTGCTCTTGCCAAACACGCAGTGGGCCGGACGGCCTCTTTGACATGGGTGAATCCTCCTCTTTTGGCCAAGTGTGGCTTTAATATCAGCCCCAAGAAAAGGCATCTGTGTTTCGTCTGGATCCCGCGAGGGTCGCCTGGCGTACCCGTTCTGTATAATATCACTGTACGCTCCAGCATGCCTTATGGGGGCAGAGTAGTGTGACTCGGGCTCATTCCCCTTTTGGGGATCAACGTATGAAGCGAGGTCCTCTGCTGTCCTGATGGCTGTGACCTTTGACCCCTCACAGGTACCCAGAGCTCCCAACACTGTGTGGCATTTGCTTATGAACCTGTATATGCCCAGACCTCATGCTGAAGTTTCTTTGGGTTCTGTCTAGGGCTGTCAAACGATACATGATGCAGTAACAACAACATTTTTTAATATATTTAAAATGTTATAGTGTGCATATTTACTATAGAAATGTATTTATTCCCAAACAAAGTATCAAAATAAAGACAAAAATAAATAATGCCTATATCAGTCTTGCATGGGTCAGAAAAAGCAACTGCGACATAGAAGCACTTTGCTTCGCTGTTTCCTCGCCTTTCCCTTCCATTGGCTTCCCCGTGAGACACTAACTGAATGTTTTGATTTCAGCTGTGCCTTCTGGCATTCTGTGCAACATCGCGACCGTTATACTGACTTTGTGTACAACCAGGAAGGAATACAATAGATCTCTATTAAAAATCCTGCATATATTATCAAAATACTGCATATCTGCCACACTCAAGGAGACAGTAATGTGTTACAACTTTTAAATGAATGCTAATGCTCCATAGTGCTAACTTTGGGAGAGCAAGAGCATTTTGGCTCTGTGTCAGTCCACCTTAGGCTTTCCGGTGAGGTAACGATTGAATCCCCCAGTGAGCCGCTCATTTCCGTGTCCCCCATTGATGATGTCACATTGTCTCCCTCAGACAAGACCAGATGTATATTTTCAGTTTACTCCATAGTAATGACTGACAGGCATAATATGTATCCCAAATGATTGTGGATTGTTTGATTCCTGTGGCTAAAATTCCATCCTTTAAATCCTATGTCCCTTCCCATAAAATTTACATAGTCTGCTGTTAGCCCTTTTCTCACCTCACCGATTGCTGTCTAATCTTGATTTCCTCTTGGCTACAATAGGATCATGTAGATTATTGCAAGGACTGTACTGTAACCTTTAGGCAACCAAGAGCACAGTCAGGAAAAAAAATCCTGTATTGAAAGATAGACACTGTTCACAGATTTGAGCTCCTTTATGATTCTCCCAATGTTTGCGGCATCTGTGGGTGATCTGAATGAGTCCTTGAAAGGATCACATAGCCCGGGGGGGGGGGGGGGAGTGCCCAGTGCTAGGTCTCCATGGTGACAGACACTGCTTCCTTTCTTTTTCCCAGTGCAGCTTGAGCCCCTAATTCACAGAGTGAAGAACAGAGTCAAACATTCTGTGCTGGTGGCAAGGGAGAGTGAGCAGTGGCAGGTCTGACCGCACGAGATTGAGGGCTCTGACCGCATGGTCTGTAAAGCTTTATAATATCAGGTCTGACCGCACGGGATTGAGGGCTCTGACCGCACGGTCTGTAAAGCTTTATAATATCAGGTCTGACCGCACGGGATTGAGGGCTCTGACCGCACGGTCTGTAAAGCTTTATAATATCAGGTCTGACCGCACGGGATTGAGGGCTCTGACCGCATGGTTCATAAAGCTTTATAATATCAGGT